AAATCAAATTAGATTACATTATCCTCTGCAATGTCCATACTCAAGAAAATGCCTATCCGTCTATTTTTTCGTTTTATACAGGGTGTATTAAAAACACTTTTACAAACACTGGGGCCTGGTTCCTCACACCAAAATAAAGACAAAAAGTTAATATAAACATATGTCCGCAAATTCTTCGTTTTTTTAATTATTAAGTTTAAAGAACGTTTACGGTAGATGCAGCTGTGTTGCTATGTAGACTAGGTTACATTTGTTATTCGTGTACATTTGTGGTTAGTCTGTCTTCAACATTTAATGTATGCTGTATTAAGTTACTGAAATTGTTCGTTTAACTATGGTAAGATATTCATATCGTAAGCAGGCAGATATGATTTTTTACATCCGGCCTCGTGAATGGTAATGGACGCGTGGCTGCGCTGCTATATTAGACTGAGTTTCCAGACTGAAGGCAGCCGAGTCATCCAACCTTTGCTGCTGTTTATCGTTGCTGATCACGAAGAACACATTCTACAGGCTGCCGGAGACGATCGGATTATTAGCACACGTAAAGTGGCCCTAACATGTCATACATCCCACAGAAACGCATAGATGGTACCTCAAGGGCAACTCCTCTATCCGTATGATTTGCAGCATGTGCAGGGTCATTCGCCCTCTGATCACTCACCATGAGAAAACTTTTGCCGATGGTTTATTGCACAAACTGCCGTTCCCTTGTTTGTCTCTTCAATCTTCTTTCAGGCTGGAAGATTGGTTGGTTGGGTTTTATGGCATATCAACCACTGTAGGTCATTTAATAGCAATTTTATATATATATATATATATATATATATATATATATATATATATATATATATATATATATATATATATATATATATTAATCGTTTCCCCACCCAACCCCCAAGCAAGGCGGGAAGCCACTAGGACACTAGGGTTACAGAAGATTTGGAGCAAGATCAGATAGGAGTGATAGAGGAAAGGAGAAGGAGAAGGATAGTGGATAGATCAAGGCAACTGGAGATGTCGATTGACATTATATATATATATATATATATATATATATATATATATATATATATATATTTAAATATATAGGGCTTATAAACGCCTATAAGCTATATAAGTTAGAGTTTATTTGCTTTCACATTGCAAAATAATTCCAGGTATTACTGTCTATGACAAGTATTTCCCTTTAGTATAGACAATTTGTTTGCACAATGTTAAAAGGTAGCATATATTAATTACACATCAGACTACATCCTAGATAAAAGACCAATTCGTTTCGGGAAGTTTATTATATGACTTGGATCAATTTTTGTAAATAGTTCCTTTGTACTCTTAATGTTGTAGAACTTTCTTCGAATGTGTGTAAGGTTTGTGCATTCTATCAGTATATGTTTTACTGTGTATTGGTTTCCACAGGGACATTTAGGAGAAGGCCCCCCTTCTAGTATGAAGGAGTGAGTCAGTCTAGTGTGTCCAATGCGTAGCCGAGGAAGGATGGTTTCTTCTCTTCTTGTATTATTAAGATTCAGTTTCCTTTATTTTAAAGTGGGTTCTATTTATATATATATATATATATAAATGATGTTCCAATAACTTGGACCGATTTTAAATGTTAATTAAGTTTAAGTGTCTAATGATTTTTTCCTTTTTCTTTCAAATTTGTCGGACATTTGGGCGATATTATTTTTCACGCATAATTACCATGACTTAAATAACATGATCCAATGGGGAACTAAATAAATTTTCACCAATAACACTGATTTATTTACTGCTGACTTTGATCCCTCTTAATGAAACACCTTTTACAATCCCTTCTAAGAGTATTTGAAAAGCAAGGCTAATTCCTTTGTTTTTATTGTTCACTGAAGACATTTGGGTTTAAGATCAAAAGAGTTCAGAATTTCAGTTTTTATTTCCTCGTATTTGCATGTAGATGTTTTAAACATTTTAGAATATACCACCATTTGTATCAGACTTCTCCATTTTTAGGTGAGCAAAAGTAAAGGAACAAATTGTGTTAAAGTAAGTTACATTTAATATTTGGTTGCATAACCAATGCTTGCAATAAATGCAAATCTATCTGGTTTTTAAGTAGTGAGTTATTCCTTATTTTTTAATTTCAGCCATTGTGCTTTTTTGTTTTACATTTTAGACCAATACATCCACCCACGAAAATGGCTAGGTTGCTGGGAGATGTACGTAAATTGCCCACTAAGGCGAAAGTAAAGTAAGGAGCACAACTACCAACGGCTTTCAAACAGTTTCGTCTCCCTAATTTCACTTACCGACACCTAAATTAAAAAGAACATTGGCATAGCGAAATATGCCTTTCAGAAACTAATCAAAGTATTAAGAAAAAAATTATATTGGAAACAAAGAAAAGAGTACTGAACTGTTATGTAATATCGGTACTCCTATATGCTAGTGAGTACTGACCATCTCATTTATGATGAAATGGTCCAGCATATAGGTATAGATGGAAAAGAGACTTGATGAAACAGAAATGTGATTCTACAGAAGGATGCTGAGAATACCCTGGATTAGACAAATGAGCAAGTTTTAGAGGAAATGAAAACAAAAAGACTCTTACAAATAGCATAAGACGTTTAAAATTTGTAGGGCACAGTAAGACGTTTAAAATTTGTAGGGCACATAATGAGGAAAGAGGGCTTGGCAAATTTGGCACTCATCAGACATTGAAAGCAAGACGGACAGAGTAGCGCATAAAATGCCTAACGAGCTCGTGTAAATGTTCGGCAGAAAAGGGATTAATAGACTTACTAAAATGATAAACTCTACTAAGGGTGACAAATGACAGGAAGTTATGTCGAGCAAATCGCCCCCCCTGTTCTAAAGGGACATGACGCATAGAAAAATGATGATTTCACTCACACGTCTTGGATCAGCACGTAGTATAGGTTTCAGACCCTTCCAAATAGTACCGCATGTTGGTATTGTCTCCCAAGCCAATATTATCAAAAATTCACCTTGACTACTCGGCCATATTAAGATTCGAACTCTGGTCTCGTAATAAGAGCTTTATTGATCCAAACACTCGATCGCGCATTCATTTAATAATAAAACAGGGTATCTTCAGCGTGGTTTATTGGTCAGTAAGATTGTCACGCGTGATCAGTTACGGTGTTTACTCATTCCCCCACGAGAATGAGATGTGACACAAGGTCGGATTAATGTGGGGACCCGAGCGTGTACACTCGGGCAGGGACAAAAATCCACCTAAGCCTCCGCAATAGTCGGTTGCACTGGCCTCGGTGCGAGCACTGATTCCTCCCTCTTGTGCAATGGGAGGGCGCAGCCTCGGGCAGCTGTTCCCCAGGGCTGGGCACCTTTTCAGTATATTTTTTCCTCAGTTGCCCCCTCTGACGCAACTGAGAGATGATAAGTAGATGTGTACCTACTCAAAAGAGTAAGGTATACGCGTAATCAGTTACGAGTGTGAGTTTGTGTCTTATTAAGTACTCTGTATTTTCTAGCTAGTTCCACCTCTAAGCTGTATTCTGCAAACCACTATATGATATTAAAACAGATATTAAAGCATGTGTACTGGGAAACAGAAGGAGAAGATCCTATTAGAAATTATTTTTTAAAATTAATATTTTTGCTATGCAATAATCTATGTTGATCATGTAAAATAGAATTTTTGATTATCTGTAAAGCAATTTCTTTGGTAATAATCGTATGGCAATATTCTTTGAATTCACTCATCAAACGGGCGTTGTTTACACGCCGAAATATCCTCTACGCGAAAAAAAAACATCTTAGGAATAATGTTCCTGCATGCGGATAAGTTTTAAATTTACTTTCAGAATGAACAAGAAGCGTTTACAAGGTTTAAACGGTACTGGAAGCTGTGTCCGATGCATCTGAATAAAAAGAAAAGCATATTATTTTTTTTTTAACAATGCGTTGCCAGCACCTTCCATATACGCGCCATTTGTGCGTATTGATGCCAACCCGTCACCATGAAGGCTAAGTTTTCGAAAAGGGAATATACAGATTTCGAGTAAGAAAAAACAAATTAAGAATAGAAGAAAAAACTTATAAGATAATCTTAGCTACATTTGGTTATTTCCATGTATTGGAACTGGCAATTTCCCAAAGTAAAGTTACAGCGAAGAAAGCCTCGAGAAAAAAAAAAGAAGCAGCAAAATATGAATTGTACAAAATATACAGCTTCTCAAAAATATGCCCTCTTCATTCTCAGATTCTCTAACTCATTCTTTTTCTTTTTCTCTCTATCTCGCTTGCTTTCTGTATTCTTTATTTTTATATTTCTCTCTCTCTGTCTTTCTCTCTTGCTCTGTTTGTAACTCTTCTCTTTATCTTTCTTTCTTTCTTTTTTCTTCTCTCTCTTACTCTCTTTCGTTCTCTCATTTGTCACCCTGTCTTTGTCCTACTCTTCCTTTTTTTTAACTTCTTTATCCTTTTTTTTTTCTTACGCAACACATGTTTCGTTCTCTTTTTTCTTTCTCTCTCTATCCCTTTATGACCAACTCGTTCTTTCTTCTCTCTCGCTATATTTCTCTATTTCGTTCCTTTCTTTTTTTTTTTTTTTTTTACTTTTTCCCACCCAACCCATTTTTCTTCTTTTTTCTTGCTCTCTCGATCCCACTCTTTCTTTCTTTCTCTCTCTCTCTCTCTCTCTCTCTATCACTCTCTTTTATTACCTTTTTCTCGCCAGCTCATTTTTCATTCTCTTTTTCTTGCTCTCTTAATCTCGCTCTGTCCTTCATCGTCATTTTCTCTGTCGCATTCTACCTCTCTCTATCCATATCATTCTCTCTTTCTTTCTCTATTAACACTTTCTTATTCTCCCTGTTTTCTTTCTTATTCATTTTCTTTTTTTTCTCTCTCTCTCTCTCTTGCACCCTTACTCTTGATACATTCTATTTTTATTTATATCTCATTCATTTTCAATGATTTCTCCTTACACTCTGTCTTTCACCTTCCCCTCACTCGATTTCTATCGTTCTATGTCTCCCAATCTCTCTCTTTCTTTCTTTCTCTCTCTGTCTCCGTTTCTTTCTCTCTCGCTTTTCTCACTTTGTTTTTCTCTTCTGACTTTTCTCGACAATTTCTGTCACTCTATTTAGCTCACACTTTTTCCCCTTCTCTCTTTATTTATCTTGTTGATTGTTTCTTTCTAATTATATTTTGTCTTATTCTTTTTCTCTCGCTATTTTCACTCCTTCTCTTCCATTCTCTTTTTTTCCGTGTTATTTCGTGTTATTTTTTCTTTTTGTATTTTATCACCGAATCTCTCTCATTTTATTCGATCGCTCCCTCTCTCTCTCTCTCTATTTTCTCTCTCTCTCTCTCTATCTATCTATCTATCTATCTATCTATCTCTCTATCTTTATTGTTTTCTTTTTATGTCGGTCTCGTTCCATTTCTATTACACATTTTCTTTCTTAAATTCTTTCTTTCTTTTTTGGCTCTGTTAACGTGGCACAACGGATCTTATCTGTAAAGATCTGAACTGGTGGAAGTAAAAGATATAGCACGTCTGAAATATTTCCCATGGAAATGGTCATAGAGTAGCGTAGGTCAGGAACGATTCGTCTGTGGAAAAGGAATTGCAGGAGACCACCCTCAAGACCACGCAAACGCTTATGAAGCCGCTCAAGACTGGACAGTGAGAACAGGGCAGCTCCACCCAAATATGGGCACAATACTTCAATTTTGATCTGATTTGACTCTGGTCTAAAAGAATCAAGTACTTTCTGGATCTGTACAAGTAATTGATCATTTTTCCAGAATCTTTAGCGATGGATAATATATACAAATTACTGAAAATTCTATATACTATTAATGGTTGAAGAGACTGAATTGCCAAACCCTATTCTCTGTTGAAGTGACTATGTGGTCATCGTAGTGATAATAATAGCCGTTTTCTTATAAAGAAATATTCGAAATTCATTCAATGAACTATGGAATTCTATTTACTAATTATTTCCCCCTCAATAGGTGTAGATAGGTTTGCCTATCGCCCGGTTCACACACCTCCTCGGTTTTTTTATTAGAAGTTAACCCCTTTTTTCTGGTTTATTTTCGTTGATGTATTTTCTTTAACGAAAATAAACTTGGTAATATATATTTTTTTATTCAACTTTCGTTTTGTTTGTTGTCTTTCTATTTCCGGTTCCTTCTGAAGTCTACTACAGCACTACACCTGTGAAGTCTTCGTGTGTACACTGAACTTTTATTTACTAATTATTTATTTACTTTTTTTGTCCTGAATAGAAGTCGGTAGGTTCGCCTATCGCCCATTTCAGACTTCTAGTCGATCTTTTTTAATATGAGTTTAATACTTGTGTCTCTGTATAGGAGACCATTTCGGGTTACTTCTAAAGTATTTTCATTCTTTTTCACTCCCAGTAGTCCTTTTTGTTTTAGGAACATTATCACCTTGCTTTGGTTGAATTGATTTAAAAAATATGTGCTTACATACCGCAAGGACATGGCAATTGATACCAAAAGATTTTAGGTGAGTCTATAGCTTCGGGTGAGAGATGTATCTACTACCTCATCGGTCTGCTGGACAAGTTGTTCTAACCTGTCGTATCCTCTCAGCACTAACACGTTTTTTAAAAAAACAACTGGAAGAAAAACTTAACAGCTGATATTTGTAAAATTGATGCAGGATATAAAAAGGGCACAAAGCATAAAAAGTAAAATTCCGAGGCCCAGATGACTGGGATCAAAGTGTATTATCTGTATCAGCAACTGATAACCGGCCTACGGCTCCAGTCATCAGCAGCAGTTCCAACAATCCATCATCATCTCCAGCTCGCCATCAGCCGCCGCTCCAACCATCTCTAGCTTGCACCGCTCCAGACATCTTCGCAAGCAGAGCAACGATATAGAATAAACTATATTTTCCGGACAACGTTCTTCAGCGATCATGAAACTATACTTTTCAGAATAATCCTCTTCAGCGACTACAACACTGTCCTTTTCGAAATAACACTTTTCAATGACGACTAAAACTCTCCTTCTCAGGACTACGCGCTTCTCACCCACTATATGGACAACCTATTTTTTTGCCTAGTAATCTTATTTTCGTTGATGTATTTTATTTAACGAAAATAAACTTGGTAATATATATTTTTTTATTCAATCTTCGTTTTGTTTGTTGTTGTCTTTCTTCACTTGATATCTGTTTGCGGGCCAACATACCACCCGTAACAAACCAATACGTTAAGGTTGGTCCCAATGTAAACACAGTTAAAACTATTTCCAGGAAAGACATTTAATCAGCCATCATTTAAAAATCGTTTTACGACTTCGACAGTTATTATTTATTTTATTTTTTTAGACATTTGTATAAGAAAAATAGAATCTTTTAAGAGATGAATTTTACATTTATTGCTTTGTTTTAGTATCTTCTTTTTCTCTGGTTCATTGATTAATTGATGATGTATTTTTTAATACAGGTAATAAACCGAATACGTTTATCTATGTTTATTTTACCCACATCACAAAAAATACATTAGGTCTGTTAAATTAAAAGACAACAGAAACCAAAACATTATATGAAGAGGAAAAGAGAAGAGAATGAAGTAATTTCCCTATCAGTTTCTTTAAACCTTTTTCCTTTCTTTTTTAATCTTTCTTTGTATGTTTGCAGATAACTCATCTGACCTTAAACTTTCACTGTCCTTATCGAAGCTTTTTCTCTTCTCATCTTCAGGTCGTTTCCTCTTGTATATTATCTTTACCAATTCTCATCATTTTTTTAAAGAAAACGTTTTACATCTGTATTAGCTAAGTATACCATTTCCACTGCTTCAGGAGCCTACCATAAAACGATGGGTTAGTCTTGCAGGTCATCACTAGTTAGTTTGGTATCCTATGAGTCCTATGACAAAATAGGGTATGCTTAGTAAAGTATTATTCATTAGTTTCGCCATCTTTAGAAATATTCCAACGATTCGCACGACATTTCCTTTAGAACTTATTTTGTTCCGATTTGTTTAAATTTAATTTATAAATATTGACACTGTTTTCTTTCCTTCTACGATTTATTATTCTCAATCATCGTATTTTCGCTTCTGTAGTAGAAAAATTTAAGTATCTGGGAGGTATTTTAAGAGGGAACAGAAAATGCAACACTGAAAACCCAAGGTGCAAGGGAGTAGGGAAAGGAAAGATGTCTTCCAAAAGACTACCAAAGTAAGAATCAATCAAAGAGAAAAATTTTGATTGAAACAAAGAAAAGAGTACTAAACTCTGTTATGTAATATAGATCTTCCTATATGCTAGCGAATCCAGGACGGTCTCCTTACAGATGAAGGGACTTGAAGCAACAGATATGTGGTTCTACAGAAGCGTGTTAAGGATACCATGGATCAAACATGTGATTAATGGTGAAGTTTTACATAAAATAGAAACAAAAAAAATTAATACTTAACGTCCGATAGTTGAAACTTCTCAAGTATATAATGGGAAAAGACTGTTTGGACAACTTGATACTCACAGGACAGATTGGGGGCAAAAGGACCAGCGGAAAGCAACTTATAACCTACCTTTCGAACTTGATTAAATTACTATCGGAACAAAGTTGTTATAATAATACGACAAAATTTATTTAAAGAACCGGAAATTGTGGAGAGCCATGATCGCGAAAGTCCTGAAGGCATACGGCGCATAGAAGATAATCAAACAAGTACAACAATTTAAATATCTACGAAATGTTTTAACAGAATACAGAAAGAGCGACATTGTAATCCGAAGGTGCATTATGGATAGAGGCAGATGCCTTACAAAAGCTAAGCAAAGTATTAGGAAACGGAAAAAATTCGTTAGAAGCAAAGAAAAGTATACCGAAATGTTATGTAATATCATTCTTCCTATATGGCAGTGAATACTAAACAATCTCCTCACAAATGAAGAAGATGTTTGAAGTAACAGAAACAAAGAAAAAATAGTCAACTGTTATGTAATATCAGTCCTCCTATATGGTAGTGAATACTGGACAATCTCCTCACAGATGAAGAAGAGTCTTAAAGCAACAGAAACAAAGAAAATAATATTGAACTATAATGTAATATCAGTCCTCCTATATGGCAGTGAATACTGGACAATCTCCTCACAAATGAAGAAGAGGCTTGAAACAACAGAAATATGGTTCCACAGAAGAATGCTGAGAATATTATGGTCTGAACATATGAGCAACGACGATGTATTGATCGTCAACATCCTGATGTTATGCGGCAAATAGAAGAAAAATTGAGTTTTCCAGAATTTCATCGTTGTTAACGGCTTTTTCTTGAAACTATGAAACATAAAGCTTCTCTACTTTGTTGTGCAAATATTTTGAGACAGTTGTCTCACTTTAGCTAACAGTTTTCTGTTATTATTATTTTTTCATGTGTAAGATTTCCTTTTCTTCATGTATAATATTTTTTTCATATATAATATTTTCTTTTTTTTCATGAATAATATTTTAGCTCCGTTCTCTCTTAGTTATCCTATTTTATCTTACTTTACTAATTCGCATCGCTTGACTCATCAATGTTTTGGGGTTTTTTTTTTAAAAAAATGGTTCCCTATTCTTCATCCACCTCCATTCCTAGTTCTAACACATATTGTCATGTTATGAAAACTTTCAAGAAGTCATTTCTAGAAACTTTGAAAAACATAAAAATTGCTTTGTTTTTAAACTTCTGAACCTAGATTGATAAGCTGGCAACCACAATAGAGTCGATTCAAATCCAGACATAACCAACCAAATATTTTGTACATATGTCTAATATCTGTTTGTGTGTGTATGTGTGTGTGTATGTGTGTGAGTAGGTGTAAGTGTTTCATCCTTGTATTTTTTTCACATTCTTCTCTACGTTCATTTTCGTAATAATGTTTCGTCATATTATCATTATCATTATTATTATTATTATTATTATTATTATTTTTATTTTCTTTGATTTCTGGCGTTTACACATTTCTTTCCGGGTCCAGCCCAGGGACCTAAGGTTAGAAATGGCATCATGACACTTTCCACTGACAAAAAAACAAAAAAAAAATACATAAATAAAGCCCTTCGTAAAGTGTGGGCTGTACTTGTCAGAAAAATTTTTTGTATCTCCTTGAGGCATGGACTTCCAGGAATCCCTTCAATTAGTCTACTGCAATTTTTTCCAACCAGTCCTAGGGCTCCAACTACAGCAGGGATTGCTGATGTTCCCATATGCCACATTTTCGAGATTTCTATTTCAAGGTCCTTGTATTTTGACAGCTTTTTGAAGTCAGCAGGGACTGCCATATCAATAAGGAGGCACTTTTTTTGTTTGTGGTCTTTAATAACAATATCTGGGCGATTGGATTTGATTGTTCTGTCAGTGTGTATTGTGTAGTCCCATAGAATTGTAACAGGTCCTATCTCCGTAACCGGGTCTGGGTGGTGTTCATACCATTTTCTTTCAGTTTCCTTCCCGTAGAAGTTGCAGATTTTCCAGTGCAGATATTGGCCCACTATGTCATGCCGGGTTTTATATTCAGTGGGTGCCAATATCGTGCAACCCGATACAAGATGATCAATCGTTTCTGGATATTTATCACAGATTATTATTATTATTATTATAATTATTATTATTATTTTGTTACTTTTGATTCCTGGTGTGTACAGAGACCTAAGTTTAGAAATGGCATCATGACATTTTCACACACACATTTTACATAGATAAAGCCTTCGTAAGGTTTTGGCTGTCCCCGTGAGAACAATTTTTTGTATTTCTTTAAGGCATGGGCTTCCAGGAATCCCTTCAATGTGTCTACTGGAATCTTTTTTCAAATCAAATCAAGGGCTTTTCTACTTCAAGATCCTTGCACGTTGATAGTTTTTTGAACATCTTCAAAGATACATTATAATCTGCAGGGACTTCCATGTCAATAAAAAAACCCACATGTCTGGGCGATTAGATTTATTTGTGTGTACTGTAAGCTCCCATAAAATTGTTCCTTGTCTGTAACCGGGTTTAGATAATGTTCTCGTAAAAGTTGCATATTTCCTCGTGAAGATATTGACCCATTCTATCATGCCGAGTATTATATTCAGTGGGTGCTAACAGTGTGCAACCTGATACAAGATGGTTAATTGTTTCTGGATATTTATCACAGAATCTGCATTTCGTGTGTTTGGTTAGCAAGCATGTGTCCTATGCAGCAAGAATAAAACCTTCGTTTTCAACTTTTAACCTTGCACTATGTAACAACTGATGGGTACTGATTATTATTATTATTATTATTATTATTATTATTATTATTATTATTCCATTCTAATACTTTCCTTTAATCTCTTTTCCTAATTTTCCTCCTAACAAGACCTTCTTCTTTTTCTCCTTCTTCTCCTTCATCATCATCATCATCATCATCATCATCATCATCATCATCATCAATAAAACCATTATCATCATCATGTTTTTCTTCTTCTTCTGTTTTCTATTGATTTTTCTTATTTCCTGTTAAGAAAACCTTTACTTTCTACTTTTAATGTCTATTTCTTATTTCTTTCCTTCTTACAATCTCTCTCTTTATTTTCTTCTTCTTCTTCTATATTGCTTTCAAACATACACACACAAGCACATACAACATATGCACTCACATCATCCCTCATTTTCTTATCCCACCTCTCTCTCTCTCTCTCTCTCTCTCTCTCTCTCTCTCTCTCTTTATTTCGCCTCTTTCTCACTCTCATCCTGACTTTTCAATCTAACCTTTTCTTTCCAGACTTTTCACGGTGTCTCCGTTCCCTTTCATTTCCTTCTCACCAGCAACCCCCTATCAATCTCTATACTTCATACTGTGATTTCTTTCATTTCCTCACTTTCCTTTTAATATCCTTTCCTTTTCAAACCCGTCCCCAGCCATTTTCTCATTTTGACCCTCTCAATCTATTCCCGCCACGATGTGCGCTCACACGCCAATACATCACCTGTGAGGTTAAGCTAAAAATACGAATACTTGTTTCTTGGGCCGACAGTGGAGAGTTCTAACAAGATCAATGTTTCTCATTTCTCAGACACCAGTAAAACCCAAATCACCATAGGATATGTGAGCAGAGCATCTCCCTTGTGACAGAAACGATTACAACTTGCCAAGTTTAAGTTACACATGGGCGCATGTCAGTTTCATCTTATATACATATCTACATAACTCACGCTGAATCTGTCTCTGTCAGTCTCTCTCCCCCTCCCTCTCTCCCCCCTACCCCTCTCTCTCTCTTTCTACATATACATATATATATATATATATATATATATATATATATATATATATATAAGAAGAAGAAGAATATATATATATATATATATATATATATATATATATATATATAAAATAAATATGTTGTAGAGGTTCCAACGAGAGAAAAGTATGTATATTAAAAAGAAGAGAAGAGAGGTGCCGCAAACGTTTTTGGTTGTAATGTGGATTTATTTAGAAAAAATATTATACTTTGTTTTACATAATTTTACGACACGTGTTTCTGGTCTCGCGACCGTCTTCAGGTAAAAGCGGACTTTCCACATATAATTAATTTTTCCTTATGTTCAATGTTAAATATTCTCGATATGAGACATTTTCTGTTTGTGTGTTGGTAATCCGAATTTCTTTCTTGAATTGAATTTTTAATATATATATATATATATATATTACTTCCAAAGTTATTCTTAGTGGATACTCGTACTTGACAAAGACTTCCCATTTTGATTTTGATTTTAAACAGCGTTTATTACGTATACTGTTTTGTGCATTCAAAAAATCTTAATAAAGAAAATGTGCTCTCCGGCCGATATCGAACCTCGTCTCTCTTTATGAGAGAAAAAAACCGTTTGATTCAACGTGTTTTACCGCAAGGCTACAGAGAGCGCCTATATTTTCCCCTTTAAGTATCCGAAATGTAATTTCAAAACGTATCCATTAACCCTTTAGATATATATATATATATATATATATATATATATAGACTGTTATTTTGCCCGGTACAAGGCTTAAGAGCCACTCAAAGTAGAGTTAATTTGTAAGGTAAGAAAGAAGAAGTTAGAGAATTAAGAAGTCTTGTAGGGTAGATATTGATTGACCCTGGAGAAAGAGATCAAGATTCTAGTTTCCACGTAAGAATTCTCTCGTGTGTTTGTTCTGCAAAGTAACATTTCTAAAGAAGAAGCTGTCTCCTAATAGTATTTTTTATTATATTTGTTAGAAAAAGTAACTGTTTTCGCGAACGATTTATGTCTAACTAATGCTGGAAGAAAGGTTCGTCACATATTTTCATTTTTTCGTGTGAAGATTTTTTTCATATGTGTGTGCGCGCCTGTTCGTGTGTGTGTGTGTGTGTGTGTGTGTTCGTGTGTGTGTGGGGGGGGTGTTACAGCACGTGAAAGACGAATGCGGCAGAGACCCGTTTAAGATAGCCAAAGAAAACTCGGTGACCTATTCAAGGCTTGTAGAACTCACAAATGGTTGTCTGTGATCTGCTGATTCATACATCCCGCGTTTGCGTTGTCTTTATTAGAAAAGTACCTCCGTTTCTGGTGGTCAATACATCACAATAAAAAAAAAACAGAACACTTTATAAAACACCTAAGATGGAAATTATTCAACAACTCCGATAATACCAATAATATTAACAAATTTCCATTTCCATCAATGAAATGCCCACCACGACAAAAAAAACATAATCAATAATTTGAAAATATAGAAATTTCAACAATAATTTCGAAAAACGACTTGAAAAGATCAAAAAATGATAAACAATTGAAAAAAATATTTATAAATGCAGATAAATCCAGGATAATTTATAAAATGGAAACCAACAATTACAATACACTAGTTGACAAAGAAATCACTACATTTTACAAAACCACTAACTAAACAGAAAACGATATAAACAAAGAAGCTAAAAACATAGCAACTAAACTAAAATTTGACAATAGAATAAAACAATTAATAAAAGTAGAAAAGTTGATAAATTAAAAGACCAAACCAAAAGTCAGGTTACTAAACCCCACAAAAAAGCATCATTGAGGGAATAAGTAAACAAATATTAGATAAAATATGCCCAAAACTAAGAAATATACTAAACAAAAATCAATGGGAAAATTTAAAATGCATGATCAATTAGTTTAATAAAATTAGTAATAAAGAAAACTGCTGCTTCAGACAATTAGACATAAGAGACATCTACTCATCTATGAATGAGCATACACTAAACAACGCATTAAACCTAGCAAAACAATACATGACATTTCCAAATGAGGACATAAATATAATTAAGCACGAATGCAACTCAATATTATACCACAATAAAAATATGGGTAAAAGCAATAATAATAATAGTAATAACTTTAACGTAACAATGGGTAGCTATGATAGTACATTATTATGCGAACTCTAGGCATATACATAATAAATATTTTTAACAAAAAATATATAGGTCCATAAAGGACGACGGTTTATTTATTCTAAGAAACTGCAACGGCAAAACTACAGAAAAAAATAAAACAAGAAACAGTTTAAAAAAAACATCAAAGCCCTAGGATTTACAATAGATATAAAATCTAATAATAATGTAAAATTCAACCTAAACAACAAACCGTACATAAAAGCAACCCAATATACATTAACAAAAATTATAACCACTGCTAAACGTATTTAAACAAATACTCATATCTAAATAGAATAATTTCAACAAATTCTAGCAGCCAAAAATGTTCAATGAAGCTTAAAAAACATGTGAATCAGTCCTAAGTAACAGCGGAAATTCAAACAAACTAGAATACAAAAAAGAAAACAATTCAAACATAAACAACAGAAAATTAAATATAATTTGGATCAACCCCCCTCCCCTACAACAATATAATAAAAACAATAATAGGTAAAATATTCTTCAAAATAATTGAAAAACACTTCCCTAAAAACAACAAATTATCAGCAAAAATCCAATCAGAATTATTTACAGCTGCATGGATAACATGAAAAAATAATAAAAGAAAATAATAATTAAGCACAATAAGAAAATATTCGACAAAACCAATAATAATTATAACAACAATAACAATAACATGCAGCAAAATAATACCATTAAATATAACAGCAGAAACAAATAAAAATGCCCACTTAACAATAAATGTTTAACCAATAACACAATTTACAAAGCTATCGTGACTAATAACATTAACATAGGCAAAAAATTTACATGGACCCCCACAGTAAAAAGCTTTTAGATAAATATATTATAACCACAAAATATCATTCGAAAGAAAAATACACAAACAAAACAACCATACGAAAATACATATGGCGCCGAAAGAAAACAATATCTCCACCAAAATCAAATTGGAAATTATAAACAGAGCATCTCCATACGGTATCAACAGAGAAAATTATAAATTATGCTTAGAGAAAAAATTCGCAATAATTAGTTTTTAAAAACTAAAATAAACTCTTAAGCAAAAAACTGAAGTAATGGGTAAATGTATGCGTATAAATACATACTTTGTCATCTAAGCACTAATTAAAATAAGCAAATAAGTATAAATAAAATAAATATAATATAAACTTTAAATAAATAAATGAAATAAATATAACATATTCTTGAAATAAATATAACACAAATTTCAAATAAATAAATGAGACAAAGATAATATAAACTTAAATTATAAATAAATAAAGGAACAAATATTAAACATACATACCTATGCGCGTGTTTGCACATGTATATATAAATATATATCTACACACAGAAGCAAACACAAAAATGAACAAACCAACAACTTATAATTAATACTTCAATATATAACACCAAGGTAAAAATAAATTAAATACTAACCATTAAATAAATAAAATATGATAATTAAATAAATGGTAAACGATTGCATATACACTATTTCACAGTTGCATATATGTGCGCGTTTATAGCATCCCTGTCATGCGTGCGCTAGTGTGCGGGTGTGTGTACATATAGATAGATAGATAGATAGATAGATAGATAGATATGCTATATTTCTGGGAGAAAAGTGCTAAATATCAGTGGCAGAGCATATATGAATACCAACAGTGTGGATATCGGTATCAACACTGGTTAGAAGCAGGATGCCAGTTGAACACAACCGTCAGATGGCCTGATGCTTGCGTTTAGGCATGAAACATACTGTCGATACCCAGTGTTAGCAACTATATCAGCACTGCTTATAGATAGATAGATAGATAGATAGATATGCATATGTATATAGATATAGATGTGCATATGTATATATATATATATGTGTGTGTGTGTGTGTGTGTGTGTGTGTGTGTGTGTGTGTGTGTGTGTATAACGATCCAAACAACAAGCCTAATTAATATACTAAAAATAGAAACAAATAACTTCACCATTTAAGCACTGGTTTATTAATAACACAGTGCAGACTTAAGTTTACATGTAAAATGATGTTTATATGTGTGTGCGTACGTATACCTATATCCGTGTGTGCATGCAGTCGCACTTGTGCGTATACATAGGCGTAGACAAAGCAGATATATGCATATAAATTCTAACAATAATAAATAAATTTAATTATGAATCAAACCTCCTACAATTAATACATATGGTGTCACAAAACCAAATAAAAAAGGAAATAACGTCCCTGTGGAGATGTATATGTATATATATAAGTATTCACCATTTAATCATTAATAAACTTGGTATTATATATATATATATATATATATATATATATATATATATATATATATATATATATATATATATATTATAAATTAACTGATTTAAAATATGTTTTTTTTCGCTACACAGTTCTAGCCATGTTTAAAAAATGGAAGCTAAAAGCTTAGAATTTTATTTTGTAATTAAAATAAAGACATTAGTTCCATTTCACCCTCAAGCAAATTTTGGAGTAACTTATTTTTACTGGGTTTTAAAGGCATGGCAAAAATCATAATTTACAGTTTCCAAGGATACAGAGAAATCCATTCATACAGGCAAGGGGTGGTT